TTTTTTAAAACTCAACAGAAGGGCTGGAAGTCAAAGGTAGCTCTCAAAAATAAAAAAAAGACAAATATAAATAAGAGTAAGTGTTAAATGTCAGAACAAGGAAAAAAGAATATAGAAATTGGCCGGGCGCGGTGGCTCAAGCCTGTAATCCCAGCACTTTGGGAGGCTGAGACGGGCGGATCACGAGGTCAGGAGATCGAGACCATCCTGGCTAACACGGTGAAACCCCGTCTCTACTAAAAAATACAAAAAACTAGCCGGGCGCGGTGGCGGGCGCCTGTAGTCCCAGCTACTCAGGAGGCTGAGGCAGGAGAATGGCGTAAACCCGGGAGGCGGAGCTTGCAGTGAGCTGAGATCCGGCCACTGCACTCGGCCTGGGTGACAGAGCGAGACTTCGTCTCAAAAAAAAAAAAAAAAAAAAAAAAGAAAAATTTAAGAAATAAAGGACATGTTAACAAATTAGAAGGATACTACAATATTCAATAGATTAATGAAAAAATGCATTTTGAAAACACAATAAAACAATCATTCTTACTAAAGAAGACCTTAAAATTCAAACAGACATTTAAGGAAAACTGGAAATAAACATGAGTTTACATAATTTGGCCAGATGGAAAGGAAGAAAAATACAAAAAATGTGAAAGTATGAGAAGCACAAGGAAGAACTGATAAGCTGAGAAACAGAGTAAGGGTCAGAGACTGGAATGAAAAAACTCGGTGCTAAGAGGAAAAAGAAAAGGTTAAAGAGAACTGATAGCTGGAGGAGGCAGGCAAAGAACAAACAAAACATGCATAACTGCAGCTCCCAAATCAGAAACCAAAAGAATAGACTGGAATTCATATTTAAAGATACAATTCCTGAGATAACAGCCGCCCCGAAGCTAAACATTGCAAGTGTCAGGAAAAACTGGCCCAGAAAAGGATATACATGTGGCTCTTGAGCATGTGTAAAGAGATGCAGCCTCACTAATGAAAAATCAGGATGAAACTACAGTGACAAACCTAAGCTGAGGGAGATTCTACAAAGTAATCCTGCTTCCTGGAGAGCCTTCCGCAATTTTTGGCCGGGTATGGTGGCTCACGCCTGTAATCTCAGCACTTTGGGAGGCCAAGGTGGATGAATCACCTGAGGTCAGGAGTTTGAGACCAGCCTGGCCAACATGGTAAATCCCCAACTTTACTAAAAATACAAAAAAATTAGCCTGGTGTGATGGTGTATGCCTCTGGTCCCAGCTACTCAGGAGGCTGAGGCAAATGGATGATTTGTGCCAGGAGTTCAAGGCTGCAGTGATCTGAGACTGGGCCACTGCATTCCAGCCTGGGTGACAGAGCGAGACTTCGTCTCAAAAAAAAAAAAAAAAAGAAATAAGAAAAATTTAAGAAATAAAGGACATGTTAACAAATTAGAAGGATACTACAATATTCAATAGATTAATGAAAAAATGCATTTTGAAAACACAATAAAACAATCATTCTTACTAAAGAAGACCTTAAAATTCAAACAGACATTTAAGGAAAACTGGAAATAAACATGAGTTTACATAATTTGGCCAGATGGAAAGGAAGAAAAATACAAAAAATGTGAAAGTATGAGAAGCACAAGGAAGAACTGATAAGCTGAGAAACAGAGTAAGGGTCAGAGACTGGAATGAAAAAACTCGGTGCTAAGAGGAAAAAGAAAAGGTTAAAGAGAACTGATAGCTGGAGGAGGCAGGCAAAGAACAAACAAAACATGCATAACTGCAGCTCCCAAATCAGAAACCAAAAGAATAGACTGGAATTCATATTTAAAGATACAATTCCTGAGATAACAGCAGCCCCGAAGCTAAACATTGAAAGTGTCAGGAAAAACTGGCCCAGAAAAGGATATACATGTGGCTCTTGAGCATGTGTAAAGAGATGCAGCCTCACTAATGAAAAATCAGGATGAAACTACAGTGACAAACCTAAGCTGAGGGAGATTCTACAAAGTAATCCTGCTTCCTGGAGAGCCTTCCGCAATTTTTGGCCGGGTATGGTGGCTCACGCCTGTAATCTCAGCACTTTGGGAGGCCAAGGTGGATGAATCACCTGAGGTCAGGAGTTTGAGACCAGCCTGGCCAACATGGTAAATCCCCAACTTTACTAAAAATACAAAAAAATTAGCCTGGTGTGATGGTGTATGCCTCTGGTCCCAGCTACTCAGGAGGCTGAGGTAGGAGAATCGCTTGAACCGGGGAGGCAGAGATTGCAGTGAGCTGAGACTGGGCCACTGCATTCCAGCCTGGGTGACAGAGTGAGACTCTTTCAAGGAAAAAACAAAACAAAAACAAACAAACAAACAAAAACAGTCAGCTGAGGGTCTGCCCTAATGATTAGCATTTTATTTTATTTATTTATTTCGAGTAGAGTCTCACTCTGTCACCCAGGCTGGAGGGTAGTGGCGCCATCTCGGCTCACTGCAACCTCTGCCTCCTGGGTTCAGGTGATTCTCCTGCCTCAGCTTCCCAAGTAGCTGCAACCACAGGCGTGCGACACCACTCCCGGCTAATTTTTGTATTTTTAGTAGAGACAGGGTTTTGTCATGTTGGCCAGACCGGTCTTGAACTCCTGACCTCAAGTAATCCACCCATCTCAGCCTCCCAAAGTGCTGTGGATTGCAGGTGTGAGCCACCACGCCCAGCCCAACTAGCACTATTTAATATGTGGCAGCTCTTCTCACTGTCCTCTTCATTTCATAAAGTAAGAAAAATGGCCAGGAAAATATGAAGGTACTCCATTTGATCGATATTCAAGGAAATGCAAATGTATCAATGTTTAGACAATGAAAAAATGTTCATCCAAACCAGAAAATAAACATTTAGCATAAATGTGCTAGAGACATTTTCCCTACAACTGGATCCCTCCCATCAGTACAAGGTAAAGCTAAGCCCCAAAATGTTAATGCTCGTTACTATTTATTTCTAAAGACGGTCTCCAGACAGAGAAGGAGGAAGTCTGAAAACACGACAGCCTGGAATCATGGCATACAGGATTGTATGTGGCCCCACCAAGTCTGTGAAGAAGCCCTTTGTTACAACATAGGCCGTGTGAAAGCTGCGGCCCGGCAGTGTGGGACACGCCTCAGCTGCAGACCGCAAGCACTGATCCACATGCCAAACACCACTGCACTAACCTCTGGGGAGCAGCTTGGAACCCTGCACTTCTGGAATTTCAATATCTCTGCATGAATCTACTTTAATTAACCTCCATAAAATTTATAATAGCTCCAAGCAGTAGGAAAATAATAACAATATTAGTTGAGAGGCAAAAAAGAAATTTCCATATCCCAGACCGGAATTTTGTTTAAAAGGGCATAAAATTTGGTTATTCCAGACTTTCAATACAATGTATTTGTTCTTAATCACTTTAGTGATGACACTGTGAACTCACCAAGTCAGGTACTATGTTTGTATGTGTCAACTTCTGGGTGGTCTGTCATTAGAATACACAGTATACACTGTCTACAGTATAATACAGTGCTTCCAGAATAGAATTTCTCATTACATAAATTGTTTAGTTTCTTATTATGTAAGTTGAAAATTAGTAAATTTTCATAGTATAAATAAAACCTGTGTTTAAAATCTACAAGTAAAACTCAAATGAAAGTCTTAGAGCTGTGTTACAATTTGGAAATATCAGATTATTTAACTTTTCATGTGTTAGACACCATGGCAGATACAAGGAAAAAAGAAACCGGGATATCTGGACCTACTTTGTTTTATTTTTATTTATGAATTTATTTATTTTGTTTTTTTAGAGACAGGGTCTTACTCTGTCTTCCCAGTTAGAGTGCAGAGGCATGATCAAAGCTCACTGTAGCCTCAAACTCTTGGGCTCAAACAAACCTCGTGCTCCCTGAGTAGCTGCCACTCTAGGCACACATCATCACATCTGGATAATTATTTCCTTCTTTCTTTCTTTCTTTCTTTCTTAATTATTTCCTTCTTTCTTTCTTTCTTTCTTCCTTCCTTCCTTCTTCCTTTCTTCCTTCCTTCCTTTCTCTCTTTCCTTCTTTCTCTCTCTTTCTCTTTCCTTCTTTGTTTCCTTCTTTCCTTCCTTCTTTCCTTCCTTTCCTTTCTTTCCTTCCTTTCCTTTCCTTCCTTCCTTTCCCTTCCTTCCTTTCCTTTCCTTTCCTTTCCTTCCTTCCTTTCCTTTCCTCCCTCCCTCTCTTCCTTTCTTTCTTTTTTATTTTTTTGTAGAGACAGGATCTTGCTATGTTGCCCAGGCTGGTCTCAAACTCCTGGTCTCAAGCAATCTTCCTGCCTCAGCCTCCCAAAGTGTTGGGACTATAGGTGTGAGCCACTGTGCACAGATTGGAGCCACTTTGGGCAACTATTTCCTGACCTCTATGGTCACAAAGTCTGACCATTCAAGGAGATGGAATGAGGCACAGAGCAAAACAAAAATAAATAAAAAAAAACCACAAACACGATTCTCCCCACCTTAGTGTGCCATCTCCATTGGTACACAAGGTGCCAAAAGTGCTAAGGTCAAAGCTCAAAAAGGCATTTTCATAGGCTGCATAAACCACTTGCTGATTTCCCTTATTCTCTTATTTACTGCACATGTATATGTAACAGGCACGATGCTAATAACTTCACATACATATTATTTCATTCAATCCTCACAACAACCCTAAGATAGATGTTGATATTTTTATTCCCATTTTAGAGACAGGGAACTGAGGCCCAGAGAACTTCTATAATTTCCTCACTCTGACTCATATTTGCACTCAGACCTGATGTCAGACCTCGAGCTCTTAACCACTTCCCTCTGGCGTCTTGGCCGAGGCCTTTTTAAATTTCTATTCCCTATGGCTCCTCCTGCTTACCTGATGAAGAGAACACACCCGCTTGGGGATCAGACACCAAGCCCCAAATGAAGGACATGCAGGTGCCCGCAAGGGATTCGGATCCGGGGCAGCACTTGTGGGAGGGGATGGTGGTAGGAGTGGTGACACGGGGTGAGGGAAGGGGTACCTTTTCTGCAATGCCGTTTTCCGTAGTGTAGATCGCCATGAGCTCGGTGTCCTCATTGTCCTGCTCACCGCTGGAGGTGGCGCCTCCATTTATCACCACCTGCAGAGACAATCCACTTAGAGGCTGTTTCAGCGTGAACCACATTTCCCCCCTCAAAAGCCTTTTGTAATTCTCCTGGTGAGTGCATGACCAGTCATGGTTTTGATGGAAAAACATACTCCATGTACCAGATGGGGAGGCTGCCTGAGCAGAAGGCTCAGCCGGGGAAAACAGAAATAAAACCCCAGGACAACCTCAGCAGGGGCACCCCCACATCCTCCAGGGCAAGGGAAGTTTGGCTCAGAGGCTCATGCTGTTTGTGGACAAGGCCCTGGCTGAACAGGTGAGAGTACCCTGAGCTGCCTCAGTTAAGATCCCTGCCCACATAACCACCTGAGGCCGACCTCCTGCCCCTAGAAGGGGAAATGTTCTAGCTGGAGGAACTCAAACTCTGCTGTTCACCGAAGTAAACCAGCCCCCGGGAGAGCACTCCTCACTAAGGGGCTACACCACCATCCCGGGTTCTGTCAGACAGTAGCAAGAGCCATAAAATGTTTTTACTTTTTAGCCACATGGTTCCACTTCTAGGAATCTATCCTGGAGAACAATATTGAGAACAAAAGCTTTAACCCAAAGAAAGTAATCACTGTTTGTAATAACAAATAACTAGTTTTGTTTTTTAGGTTTTGTTGTCGTTGTTGTTTTGTTTCGTTTTTGAGACGATGTCTCGCTCTGTCACCCAGGGTGAAGTGCAGTGTCGCAGTCTCGGCTCACTGCAACCTCCGCCTCCCAGGTTTAAGAAATTCTCCTGCCTCAGCCTCCTGAGTAACTGGAATTACAGGTGCCCGCCATGACACCTGGCTACTTTTGATATTATTAGTAGAGACGGGGTTTCACCATGTTGGTTGGGCTGGTCTTGAACTCCTGACCTCAGGTGATCCGCCCACCTCAGCCTCCCAAAGTGCTGGGATTACAGGCATGAGCCACCGCACATGGCCCAAATAACTAGTTACAGGTCACTGACACCCAGCATACTACAAGGGAAAAGATTTTTACACAGGGTAATATCAAGGAAAACACGCATGTAATACATATTAAGGTAACTGTATACATGATTGACAGTGCAACTACATTTAAAAACTACAGATTAAAAAAGTATACAAAAAGTTCAAATTCCAGCATTGTGAAATACACTAAAAGCAAGCAGAAGACAAGTGATGGCCTAGGAGAAAATACACTGCAGCAGATACAAAAAGGGTCAGTATCAATATTCATAAAGAACACCTCAAACCAATAATAAAACCAAACAATCCAATTCAGCCCTGAGAGGTCTAAAGAAAAAAGATGGAGATGAAACGGGCAAGGGCTAGGAATATATCATTCATAGAAGAAAAACATATATACAATAAAACACATGAAAAGCTGTTCTATATCATTTTAAATTATGGAAATAATGATTAAAATTTTATTTTTAGAAAAACAAATTTAGAGAGAAACTTAAAAAACGGAATCAGGTGTTGACCAAGGTATGGGGAGAGTTACTCTCCTGTGTCCTTGGAGAGAATCTGCTCTTGGTGGAATGGCCTTCATGGAGGAATAATCTGGCAATGGGATTTAAAACAGGTATTTCTGTGGATCCAGCAATTATACTGATAGAAGCTTATCCTCTAGAAATACCCATGCAGGTAATATGTAGGTTCAAGGATGATCACTGCTATAATTTATGAAATACTGAATACTTGGGGACAACACAAATGTTCATCAAAAAGACACGGTTACACTATTATACACTCATTTAGAGGAGATATTCAGCCATTAAAAATAATACAGCACCGGACACGGTGGCTCAGGTCTGTAATCCTGGCACTTTGGAAGGCTGAGGCAGGTGGATCACCTGAGGTCAGGAGTTCGAGACCAGCTGGCCAACACAGTGAAACCCCGTCTCTACTAAAAATACAAAAATAAGCCAGGCATGGTGTTGCACATCTGTAGTCTCAGCTACTCAGGAGGCTGAGGCAGGAGAACTGCTGGAACATGTAAGGCGGGGGTTGCAGTGAGCCCAGATCGCGCCATTGCACTCTAGCCTCGGTGACAGAGCAAGATATCAACTCTAAATAAATAAATAAATAAATAAATAGCTGATGTACTAATTAAAAAAAAAAAAGAACTCCAAGAAATACTGTTTTAAAAAAGTCATAAAACAATAAGCCTAGAATTATCCCAACTGAGCTAAAAAAGAAAATTGTAATGACCTTACCACTTGTCTAAAAAGGACAGAAAAGGATACCGGAAAATCACAACCAGTAGGAAGGGTGCTGCCTTAGGGACAAGAACAGCAATAGCAGACACCTTTCATTTTTTTACTCCCAAACTTTTGTAAGTGTTTGGGATCAGGATGTATTTGTGTTATTTGTATACTGCTTTTTTAAAGCGGATAATTTTTTAAAAAAGACACACTCCAAAATGCTAACAGTGGTTGTCCTTAATTGGTAGGGCCATTTTTGCCAACTTTTTCCCCTTTTTATATTTTGGTAATTTCCTAAAATGAGTAAGTACAATTTATTTTGATAACAGGGAAGAAATTTAAGACTAAAATCCTAGTAGCACAGCTTGGATTGAGGAGGTCCAGAAAGATTCCCACTTCATGTGTTTTTGTAGTCAAGGAAATTAGGGCACTGAAAAATTAGATTTCTCATTCAAGGTCATACAGATTATAACCCAGGTCTGAAGTGGGTTTTTAAGTATGCCAGAGAGGCTGGGCACAGTGGCTCATGCCTGTAATCCCAGCACTTTGGGAGGCCGTGGCAGGCAGATCACCCAAGATCAGGAGTTCGAGACCAGCCTAGCCAACATGGCAAAACCCCATCTGTACTAAAAATACAAAAATTAGCTGGGCGTGGTGATGGGCACCTGTAATCTCAGCTCCTCGAGAGGATGAGGCAGGAGAATCGCTTAAACCCAGGAGGTGGAGTTTGCAATGAGCCGAGATTGTGCCACTGCACTCCAGCCTGGTCAACAGAGCGAGACTCCATCTCGAAAAATAAAAAATAAAATAAAATAAAAATAAAAAATATGCCAAAGATCTCAATTAATTAGTACATACTCATACAGAGCAGAATTCTTTTACATTACTTCAAATAAAGACCTGCTTTTAAAATTATTTCTCAAACATGTTACAGTTTTTTACACAAGCCAACTGAGTTTGTGGAGCTGGTTTGCCTATAAAAACTAGCTGCTGGGAGGATACACATTCCTGGCCAAGTTCAGGTCCACGAGATGAAACTCTTAAAAGAGAACTGTGCTCCAAGTCACATCGCAGCAGTGCTCAACCCACTGAGAAGCCAAGAGCAACACGCTCTCAGGATGAACTCTCTTAAAACACGGATTAGTTACTAAATCATCAGAAAAACCCAGATATGACTGAAAGTCCTACTCTAGCCAAACTAACCTTCAACTGCATTTATCTCGGATTGCTGCAGGGAACAGCAACTTTACCAGTACGGGGTTTCTTTTGCGGGAGATGAAAATGTTTTGGACCAAAATGGAGGAGGCTATACAACACTGTGAGTATGTTAAAATATCACCGAACTGTTCACTTTAATTTCATGTTACGCAAACTTCACCTCAATACATGAAAAAAAAAAATCATCTGTATACATGGCACCAATAAGATAGATTTTGGAATGAGTCAGCAATTCCTACTGCTCCCCTGACACATTCCACTCCCTACTTATACACACACAAATAAAGTACAGATGATCCCCAACTTACAATTGTTAAACTTAGGATTTTTTGACTTTACAGTGGTGCAAAAGTGGTGCGTATTCAGTAGAAACTGTCAAGTACCCATACAACCACTCTGCTTTTCACTTCAGTATTCAAGAAACTGCAAGAGATATTCAACACTTTAATAAAATAGGCTTTGTGTTAGATGCTTTTGCCTAACTACAGGCTAATATAAGGGTTCTGAGCACATGTGAGGTAGGTGAGGTTAAGCTATGAAATGCCAGTAGGTTAGGTGTATTAAATGCATTTTAGGAGTGTAACTCTGTCGTAAGTCAAGGAACATCTGTATTATAAAATGCAGACACTCTGAAACCTAGAAAAAAAGCTCACATATTCATTCATTCAACAAGTTGTGGTTGTATCCCAGGCAGTGAGAATGCAGTCCTGCCTCCCTGCAGGAGCTCAGTCCAGACTGAGTGCCACGCCAAGGAATTCTGCTGTTACACAGGAGGCAGTCAGTAGTCACAATGAAATGCCAAGAACAGGAGTGCCACAATCAGATGCTTGCACTGGACAGCCGCTCAGTGCGGCAGGAGAGTGGAAGGGTGGGGTAAAGGAATGACTCTTTGGCACACGAGGAGACAGTAGCAGGGCCAAGGTGTTCACGGCGGTCTGGGAAAGACGGTCAGCTTCAGGAGAGAGCAATGATGTGGACTTAATGCCCCCCGAATATTGTCTGGATGGGAGCTCTGTGGTGAGTACAGGAGAGAGATACCATTACAGCACGGCAGGGGGCATGGGGATAAAGTGTCCAGGCTCCTGTCTGGGTTTCTCAGCTGGGAAGCTGGGTGGACGGAGGTGCCAGTCTCAAAGAGACTGGTGGAGGTAGGGGTGGAGTGTTTGTAAGCCAATTCAAAATGTGTTTGACCCACAGGAATCATCCGAAAAAGGAAGCTTTACTTTGCCAGGCTAGTCCAGGAAGTTTATTTAACTGTAAATACTACTGACCTAGATAACCTATGGTTTGCACAGGTCCAGCTGTCCCTGGGGACCCCAGAGCCCAGCCTCTCCCTGCTACCCTCCTGTTGCACAGCTGAGACGTAGCTCTTCTCTCCATGCTACCCCTGTCCTCCAAGGAAGCCTGTAATTAGATGGGGACACCAGCTGGAAATGCTCTTCTCTTACTGGCTGGTCTCTGATCTGTTTGCGTGCAGGAGGCTGCCTAAATGATTCTTGCCTAAACGGTTCTTACAGATGAAGAGTTCTACTGGAAGTACTAGTCTATTTTACTAATATTTTTTCCTTTGACTTATTAAAATAGATATTCTAATGGT